ATCTTCCTTGACCTTTTCTCTGCTATTTCCACTGTTACTACAAGTTCTTTCATTTCAGCTTCTTTTTTATTCTTATGCACCTCCTTTACCCAAACTGCATTCTTGCTGTATTTCTTTGGGTTGTTCCATAGCTGCACCCAGAACTGCACTGTTTCTTCTTTGTTAGGGGTTGACTGGTTCATTGCAATCTCTCCATTGATGGATTGGTAGAAACGTTTCTGATTCAACTGAAATTAGAGATTCTGTCTATAGTGTGCAATTTGAGCTTCGTATCTGCTGATCTTCTTGGCTATGGCTGTTCTTTGCTGCTTTATTATTTCCAGTGTTTCCTTGAACTTCCTTGTTTCTAGGTGATATTTCTTGATCAGGTATTCTTTGCTCTTTTTGTTCTTCAGCCTCTTTTCTTTCATCTGTTCTTGCTGCTTGCATCTGATCTTAGCACGCTGATCTTATTTTCCAACCTCATCTTCATTTTGGCAGTGCACTGTTTGGCTTTTTTTCTTGTTCGTTGATTTTGCATCCAAGGTATTCAATTATAACTGCAGCCGTGCTGTACGTTAGTTGGTTTGTTTCTTGCAGTGAGCTGGTGCTTATATTAGATATTACACTATTGGCATTGTTAAATACTTGTGCTAGCTGTTTCTTTGTAATAAGCTTCAATGCAGGCAACCTTATTCTGTTGTTTTGTACTGTTCTAGATACTCAGTTATTTTTGTTTCAATTCCTCTTGTTTTTTTAATTAGAGGGCTTTGTTTAGTTAGAGGGCTTTGTTCTTTATGAGGAGAAGACTTTACCATCTGAGCTTCGATTTCTTTACCTTGGGTAGACATTTGCAGTTCTTCCAATTCCACTCTGTGAATACTTTATTTCATGTTTTAAATTGATGTTAATCTGCTAGCCTCTGTTCTGTTATTTCTGATTTTGGATGTTATTCTTTCCCAAATTGGAAAAGAAATTGGTATTTCTTTTCAGATAGCTTCTTCCTGTTGGACTTGATTTGTAATAGGAGATCGTTATTTCTTTGTTTTCAGGCTTTGTATATTTGCAATGGGTAAATAAATTTTCTTCCAGTAATTCTGCAGCTGCTGACCCTGGTTGCTCAGCCAACAGTCCTGAGTCCTGTAGCCCACTTGTTACCTGATGTCCAGGGACTAGAACACCTAGCATGGTCCTTGTTGACCCAGGCAATGATCGATCCAGTATGGGTTTCTGTAAATTACATCTCACCATATTGTTTATGGGAGAGACACTCTTTGTCTGGGTCCTCTGATGAGACCTATCCAGTATGGTTGGACCTCTGGCATAGGTTTCATCCTCCTAAGAGCATGCAAGGTGCCCAACCATGTCAAGGTAGTGCCTCGATGGGGGTTGTTATTGTTGTTGTTGTTGGGTGCACAGTCTGCCAGATGTTTAGACTGGATTTGGCATTTTTATCCATCTACCGAGTCCTTCCCAAGGACCTGGGATAGGCAGATGTTGTTGTTTGATGGTGTTAAAGGTATCGTTACAGGATATAAGCTGTTCCAAGTAAAGCTGCCTTT